AGTCAGCAGAAGCCAGAATGCTGGATCAGGTGGGACCGTAGAGGGCTCAGACAGCCCCATGGAGGTACCCCAAGTGGAGGCTGAAGGGCACCGTCAGCGGGAAGGGCGATGGAGGATGGGCAATAGCCACATAGAGCTGCCTTACCAGAAGACATGAGGGAGATGCACCGAGGGGGTTCATTGGGAATACAGTGAACACACAGGCTTGGTAGAGAATGAAGCGGAGGATGTGGAGGACAACAGGTTGACCCAGACCCAGTCTAGGCTTACCAAGGATCTTAGAGGTCGCAGCCGGTGGGAATAGGGCAGGCTGTAGGAATAGGCATAAAAGGGGGTGAAGGCCATCCCTTGATAACTGGTGTTTCTTTGCCGGTGATATACTTTCTGTTTTCTTTTGTTGCCCACTTTGGGAGGGGTTGTGAGGTGAGGAGCCCAGATAGGGTTCAACCACAGGCAAGGCCAGTCAGCTGTGAGGAGGAAGGTGGCAAAGGGGGCCTTTAGCCAGACTTTCCTATAGCTTACTAAGGAAAGGGCATGAAGCCCCAGCTATCGGGGGAGTGTGGCCGAAGACCATCAGCGTTCATCAAGGTGGGGTGTAAGAGCAAGGTAGAGGGGAGGTGGAACCTCACAGAAGATCGTCATCCCGTGGTCCTATGTGCAAGAAATGCTGATAGTCAAACCCCAGCACTGGGACAAGATCAAAGTCGTGGCAGATGAGATTGGGGAGAGATGGTCCTGGTCAACGACACCAACTCGGCGGGACCACAGGGATGGACAGGCAGACAACCCTAAACATCTGGGGACGCATAGCACATGACCAGATGTTTGAAACCAGGCGGGTACACCTTACATGTGCGAACAGTTTTTACAGGTTTTCTACATTCTGTGTGGGATACTGCGCGCGTGTGCGCGCGCACACACACACACCCCCACACCCTTGATGGAATGAGATGCCAAAATCTAAAGCAATGCTACTAAAGACATTTTATTCAATTTTAATGTCTGCTCTCTGAAAGCAAAGATGTCTCTTTGTGATCCTTAGCTGCAAATTGTCACCAGCCCAGCTAACTGAATCAGCTATGCTTATGTATGAAGTTGATATACAAAAGATTAGTAATGACATTTTCTATCAAGAAGAAGAAAGGTAACATTAGAAGTAGGTTTGAAAGCTACAGATATGAGTCCAAATATATGCTCGCTTAAATCATGGTCACAAATATATTCAAATTCAGTGGGGCACCATAGTATAGAAAGCAGGGTAAAATTGGCCAAAAAAAAGTGTGTGTTGAATATTCAAGCAATGCTTTTAGCATTTATCAACAATTCATTACTGTATATCTAATAATGAAGTGAATGATCACCAAGGTGAGACTAAATTGACATTGGATTTGCCTAGTCTGGACATATAATGCCTGTTCAGCTCCTCCTTGTATATAGACTGACAGCAGGCATGGCACATCTAGAACTGTTTTGATCAATATATACCAAATGACCTTCAGAAACAACCTCCTTAAATATATCAAAAGAATGAAAAAGTAAAAATATCTCAAGGGGCAAAGATTGTTTTTTTCTAGATTATCCAGTTTATAAAAAGAAAGGATTTTACTGTGTTAATCACCTGAGAGAGATCTGGGTAGTTATTCCTCCTACGTAAAGATGAGGGAGGAACTATCCAATGCTTAAGATGGGGAAGAAGCCGGGTTCAAGAGTATTCACTTCCAATAGGCTTTTGATCTGACCCATAATCAAAATAAGCCTAGATTCATACTTTAGAAATAAGCAGATCTAAGAAAAGTAGTTTAGAACCCATTTTTGTTTGGTATTTGGCCAAAATACTTGAATTTGGAGACCAAAAACATGTTTAAATCATTAAAGATAATAGATACTTATTTGGACACAGATGATTGGGAAGTAAGGCAGGAAAATAATTTTTCAGGGCCTGAGGGGGTTTTTTTTGTGATTTATTTTACTTAAGAACTGATTATTGTATCAGAATCCTGTCATGCTTCCTGAAGTCAATAGTAGTCTTTAGAAGACAAAGGTTCAAGCTTATAAAGCAAGGTTAAACTTAATGCTCTTCAGCAAACATTTTCATCCAATGGCCTGACCTATAATAAAATACGTAAAGACAGATCCCTGCATCCACCCACACCTCTACTGTAGCGAAAATAGATACTTTTCTCTATGTTTCTTT